GTCCGGATTTCTGATGAAGTGAAGGTGATATCTGATATAATCCTCCAGCAATTTGTTACAACTCCCTTGAAAATGATTTTAATTAGTAGAGATAGATCGGTCCATCCCCTCCACACCCTCTCCCTCTCACTCCCTCTCCCCACACCCCAACTCTCTCCATCCCCTCCACACCCTCTCCCTCTCACTCCCTCTCCCCACACCCCAACTCTCTCTCTCTCTCTCTCTCTCTCTCCCTCCCCTGCATCCATCGATTCAATTCACCAACTATGACACCCATGCCCCCATGTCAGCTCCCCCCTCCCCCCAATCCCCACCAACAACAATCTTCCCCACCTACCAATATCCCCTTTTCCTCCACCATTCCAACCCCCTTTCTCCACCACCCTTCTTCCCCCACCAACCACCCCTTCTTACCCACCAACCACACACCACCACCTTCCCCACCCACCAACCACCTTCCCCACTTCCCCCACCCACCAACCACCAGCCACCTTCTCCCCACCCACCAACCACTCCTTCCCCACCCACCCCACCCTTCCCCCACCTGTGCCCACCCACCCACCAACCCACCCTTCCACCCACCAACCACCCTTCCCCACCACCCTTCATCGGCATCCGTTCTACTCCACCCAGATTATTTTCCATCGCGTCGAAATTGAATTCAGTCCATCAGTTTGTGTCTATTTTCCACCGACATTGAAATTAGTCCTTTCCTCCCAAACGGCGAATTCAACTTGTCGAAACTGATCCCGACAAACACGGGATTTCTGTTTGTTTGTTTTTGTTGTTGTTTTTGTTCTCTGTTTTGTAAGACTAGAGAGCGGGGAAACTTTATGGTGTGTTTCCTTGACGTTGGCTGACAGGTATAGTTGAGAAAAAATTTCCACTGGACACTTGGCATGAAAATATTTGAAGGGGGAACGTTGAAATTTTAACATACATGCTCATATTTTTCATTGCATTCAAGAGGACTTTTTTCCCCTCATTTTGTGATTCCGACACGTGACGAAAAACAGTATTATTATATATACGAGTAAAAGCCAATCCTATATATAACCCAGAAATAGAAACCAGATATTATGAAATGTCCAGGGAATTTTGTCCGTAATTGTACGTCATAACAACACCAGGTTTTGTCGAGTTTGATTCTGTCTCCTCGTGTCTATCAGGATCTTTTTGTCTACTCTGGGTCTTATGCGTGGGTTCTGTCTTGAATGCTTCCTTCTGGTGTATTTTATGTACTTTCGGTTCTCTGTGTATTCCCGGTTTTTCGAGTACATTTCCGGTTGTGTATATTTCCAGTTTTTCGAATATATTTTCATTTCTGTGTATTTGTTCCGGTTTTTCGAATACTTTTCGGCTCTTCATTGTCTTCTCGTCATTTCTACTTGTGGTTCCTTTTATGCAGCGTCCGGATTCGTCGTCGTTGTTGTCATGGTCAGACTTTCTAAAAAAAATATGTTGACGTGTAACTTCTGGTTCCTCCTGTTTCCTATTGACTCGTCTGCCCCCTACCTGACGTGCTCCCTCGTCTACCAACTGACGTGTACTGACTAATGCGTCGAAGCCACTCTTAAGATGGTAAAGAAGAAAGCACAATCACATGTAATAATCCTACGATATTTTTCACTTGAACACATATGAAAAAAGTAAGAAGATTTTTTTTTAAACGACTGAAAGAGAGACACAGGTGATTAGGAACATCTAAACGAGACCAATTAGTGTACAGAAGTGATTTGGTGGTATTGTACTTATAAATTAAAAATACGCTTTGTGGAAATTTTTTTGGACAATTATTTTTAACAGGAGATTATTTATGCTTTAAAATTACTACCTACCTTTTTTTCTTTAGGTGTGGGGGGAGGGAGGGAGAGGGGAGGGTAGAATTCTATGGGCTATTCTTTAGTAAGAGTTTTAGAGAGGATTTAAAGAATAGTGTGTTTGTATATAGCTCGATTAATTGGTGTTATTTATAGGTATTTTTTTTTATATTGCAGTAGTAAGCTGAGGAAGTGTTTGGGTAGTTTATTGAGTTATATATTTGGGAATTTATGGATTATTTTTTTTAGAGAGATTATTTTTACCTAGATTATTCTTATTGGTGATATAATTCAACATTTTATGGATTATTTTAACATGAGGATTAAGTCTAACTGTATAATTATTATTGGGTATTATTTTAACCATGATGATTTATGTCTAGATTATTTTTTTTAGAATAATTCAATTGTCAAGGATTATTTTATGTTTACTTAGAAGAAAAATCGTATTATATGTTGACATTTTGGAATAATATTAATAAGTATAAAAGAACGTGTGTGGATTCTTCTCATCAGTATTGTTCGTGTTGTTAGATGTGTCTTGGCTTGTGTATAGCAAGAGTGTTACCAGAGCAGAGGCTGAGAGGTAACACTGAGCCTGAGATACACACTCGACTTCTTGCGGTGTTAATAATGTTACTTACCTGTTAATCTTACCTTGATGCCGCGTAAGTAACTTCAGGCACCCCGGTTCGATTCCTTTCAGTATGCCTTGTTTTTTGTTTTGGTTTGTTTTCTCCTTTACTGTTGTTCCTCTGTATTGAATTTTTACTTTAGATTTTAATATTGTTTTGTGTATTTTTTTTAAGAATTAGGAAAAAGGTGAAAGAGCAGTCCTTCATTGACCCCGAATTATGGACAAAAATTTGAAAAAATATGAAAAAATGTACTTTGAAGTTGGTTGACGTAAGAGGTTATTGTTTACCTTTATAATATCAATATACATACCAGGCAGATATTACAGACAGTGTTTGAAAAGCACAGATTCTCACCGTAAATCAACGAAGCTAAAATAATGTATAAAGAGACATAACTTAGATTGTTTAAAGTAGATATGAAGAAAAAAAATTGCATATATACAGTATATATATATATATATATTAAAGACTTCTTTATTATTATTATTATTACTTCACTTCCCACCATCCCCGCTTCTGCTTGTTGTCCTTGTCTTTGTGTCCGTGTGCCGACCCTCCCCCCTAGCCCCTCCCCCTGCATGTATGAACCCCCACTACCACCACACCCCCCCCTCCGTGTGTCATGACACTCCTGCTCCCCCTTCTACCCCCACAGAGTGTCATGCACCCCCCACCACCACCCCCATCCTGTGTCGCGTCCCCAGGCCACCAGTGTCAAATATGTGTGTGTGTGTCACAAGACTCTTCTGTGTTCGTACTTGAGCGGGTACTAAGGCCGCGGTGCTGCCCGGTCCATAAGAGTACCGGAGGGATGGAGGGGAGCACCAACACCTCTCTCTCTCCCCCCTGTCCTTCGTCAGCGTCTCCTGCTGCGTCTGAGTACCCGAGTCCCAACCTGATGTGGGTTGTCGATGCTGTGAGACTCATCAAAATAAAAGAGTTAAGGAAGGGAGAGATAGAATGTTAGCAGAGATAGAATGTAGGGGGATAATATTCAGTGTTCTTTTCTCACACTAATGTTACGTGTTAGCCAGACGATCATGTTCGCTCGAGCTGGCCATGTCTCGGAGGTGGTACCCGGCAGGAGACGAAGAGGAAGTGAGTGACGGAGAGTGTTGTTGTTGATGCTTCACCTCGACTCCGTATTTTTAGACTCGGCCGAGAATCTTGGCCTTAGTGTAGCTGTGTTAGTTATGTTACTCACGGACCGTCCAGTGTCCGGCTGTAGAGTTGAACACTTATTATTACTATGATTATTATGATTATTACTATATTAGTGGTTTATTCAAAGGACCTTCAGTGAAAGAGAGAAAACAAAACACAAAAAATAGAGAAAAAATAATAAAAAAATGCAAACTTTTTTTGTATTTCCTCGGACGTCTTCCAGAATGATGATTGACATATTTCAGCTATGTATATTCTAATGTTTTGATACAGGTGGCTTTTTGATACAGGACATTTCCCAATTCCATGCATTGTAGCTTAGAAATGTAGCCAAACAAAAAAAAATTACTTTTTTCCAATGTCCCATTCGCAACACTGTGACCTTGATTTATGTGACTGTGTAAACTTTTTTTTGTCATGTCCACCAGTAACGTCATTCTTTTGTGTTTGTTTGAGTGTCATGTCATAACGAAGTCGAGGTCAGAGCCGTGCGAGGCGGTGAGGACGCGGGACATCAGTAGACACTGTGTTTATCCCCAACCTCGGAACAGACCCGATGACTCTACTGTGATTTTTACGACATCCAGAGCAGTTGTTTATTTTACTTTTTTCATATCAAAATTTTTTCCACCAGACTTTTTGTATACTTCTTCGTCTCACTGCCATCTCTATTTTTGTTCTTTTTTTAACAGAATTATGCTCCCCCTTGCTGTCTCTCTCTCTTTCTTCTCTCTCTCTGTTTCTCTCTCTTTCTCTGTCTACCTCTATCTCTGTCTCTCATGATTCATCTCGGGACTGCAATGGATTTGCACAAGAAACTAAGATTCTGCACTTTTATATAATATTTATGCATTTACCCCATGCATGGACCATTTTATTATGATTAATTTAATCATAATGCATTCAAGTACCATACTGCTCACGTTACTTGGGTTTAATTAGGCTGTAGCATGATATATACTGATTGTTGTTGGTCATAACTCACATACTCTGTGTATATACTTATCCAGGAGTCAAGTTCATACCAATTACAAAGTTTTAAAGAATTAACTTAATACAAAAAATAACTTTACCCCCCAAAAAGTAATAATAACTATGGTCCAACTTTTAAGGGTTGGCCATAAATGGGTCTCCATCAGTTAGTTAAACCCCTTTAAACACCCAGCTTAGCAGGAGACCCCCCCCCTCCCCCTCCCCTTTTTCCCTTATACGACTTCAGTCTCCCACTCCCCCTCCCTGCATACACAGCCTTTATTACCTCCCCCTTTACCCCCCCTTACCCCCCACCCCGCCCCTGGACCACATTAAAGAGGTCCTCTGCCCCCTAGACCCCACTTATCTAACTGCCTCTCTACTGTTTACCGTCGGGTCCGTGCAGGCGGGTGGCGGTGATCCGTGGCCGGGTCGTCACCCCTCAGGGTCAGGGCATCGTGGGAGTCCGGACCAGCGTCGACAAGGAGTCCAGGTTCGGCCTCACAGCCACCAGGAAAGGAGGATGGTGAGTACTTTGATCTTTTGTTTCTGTTGTATACATAGGTGTGGTGTGTACCTGTGCAGGTTAATTAAGTGTACAATATGAACTCTGAGGGGGACTCATACCTGGTTTTTTTTCTTGTGTGCGTGTGTGTGTGTGTGTGTGTGTGTGTGTGTGTGTGTGTGTGTGTGTGTGTGTGTGTGTGTGTGCTCCCTTTTATGACAGCTGGAGGGCTCTTATCGTCCATGTGTTTAAGGGTTGTTATTACCCATTTTAGGGATTTAGGGGACAATGTTACCCAATTAGGGATTTAATAGTCCTTTAAAAGCTTACTCATGAAATAGGGATTTCCTGATCAAGTCGACGTAATAAAATCGGGAGACGGATTGGGATTGAGGAATGGAACCTATTCAACCTGCGGCCAGCCTGGGGGATTGTGGGAATGGAGACCTTGTTCTTTACGAGGGATGTGAGGGATTTGTAGGGCCTCGGGAGCTGTCTGGATAAGCGGATAAAGGGAGAAGGGGATGTGAGAAAGGGTAAGATAAAGAGAGAGAGAGAGAGAGAGAGAGAGAGAGAGAGAGAGAGAGAGAGAGGACAATGGTAATTATATGAACATATTTAATATACAATGAAAAGGTTACCGAATAAATAAGACTAAAAAATAATTCATATCACTTAATTGTTAATAACTTTTGTAATTAATAACCAAGAATACAGGTATTAAAATTAATTATTGAAATACAGTAATACATTAAAACATCAAATTACTTATACATCACCTGTATTCCTTTGTATTTACTAATTAATACTCATACCAAGGATCTAACTGGTTATAAGCATGCCGGCTTTCCTTGGTCTAATTGCCTTGTTAACCATTGTTTATATACCTGTACTGTCCAGATATACATTGTAAATTGTACACATGCTTTGTCTACTGTATATGTATGTTAAATTGTATACCTGTGTTCGTGTACATGATTAGGGCTCTCTCGTGTGTCCGGGAGGTCTTGGTGTGGGCGGGGCGGTAGTGTTGTACACGATGTAAACATTGGTCGTTCAGATCTTCGGGGATATTTATTGGCTAGTGTATAAGTGAGGAGTGGCCAGTTGGGGTATGAGAAGGAACAGAAGGATGGACTGGAGAGAAGAGAGAGAGAGAGAGAGAGAGAGAGAGAGAGAGAGAGAGAGGACAAGACAATCACACACCAGTGACTCATATCGAAACACACACACACACACACAACAAAAGAAAACAAAAAAAAGAAAAATATTGATTATAGAGAAAGGATCAAAGCTTGAACACCTTTATTTTAAAAATCAAAACATGACCCAGCCTGATACCACCTGACCCTCTTAACCCCACCTGACCCTATCTAACCCCACCTGACCCTAGCTGACTCACATGACCTAGCTGACTCCACCTGAACCTAGCTGACTCCATCTAACCCCACCTAACCCTACTAACCCTACCTGACTCCATCTAACCCCACCTGACCCTTGGACCCCATCTTCACACCACCTGACCCCATCTAACCCCACCTGACCCCACCTGACTCTGCTTGACCCCATCTAACCCCACCTGAACCCCATCTAACCCCACCTGAACCCCATCTAACCCCCACTCGCCCTACCTGAACTCATATGAACTCACCTGACCCCATCTGACCCCGCTTGACCCCACTTGACCCCACCCCAACCCCTACCATACAATTGGGCCACCTCCCCGCTCTCCTTCCACGAATTCTTTCCTACTCCCCACCATTTCCTCGTGCCTCTCCTCCTCCCCATCTTCACTATGACTCTCCCTCTTCCCCACACCTCTCTTCGCCTCCCTTCCTCCCCACCACCACTCCCACTACTCCCCCACCTCTCCCACTACTCCCCCATCCTCCACTACTCCCACCTCCCACTACTCTCCCACCTCATCCACTACTCTCCCACCTCTCCCACGACGCACTGTAGCCTCCCACTACAATATTCATCTGGGCCTCTTTGGCAAAATGTCGGTGGTAGCGAAGTAGGAGTGGTTCTCTGGCCTCCGTTTATTTCTCCATGTAACACTGCTGCTGCCTGTGTGTGTGTGTGTGTGTGTGTGTGTGTGTGTGTGTGTGTGTGTGTGTGTGTGTGTGTGTGTGTGTGTGTGTGTGTGTGTGTGTGTGTGTGTGTGTGTGTGGAGGAACCCTTGTGTTTTATGTGTGCTTGTTTCTGTTTTCAATGTGTGTGTTGAAGAAAATTTTTTTGGTGTTGTGTTTTTGGAGTGTATGTGTGGGTGTGTGTGTGTTTGGAGTGTGTTTGTGTTTTGTTTGGGGTGTGTTTGTTGTGTTTTTTGTTTTAATTGTGTATGTTAAAGGTTTGCTTGTGGGGTTTTGGGGGGATTTATTTGTTTTATATATTTGTTTGTTTGTGTGGAAAAATTCTTGTTATATTGGTGTTTTTTGTATTTGTTCTTTTTTGTTTGTTTGTGTGGATGGATCTGTATTTTTGGTGGTGTGTTTTTGTTTGTTGTGTTTGTGTGTGAAGGAACCCTGTAGTTTGGGAGGGTATTTGTATAGTGTCTTTGTTTTCGTTGTGTGTGTTATTGTTGTTGTTGTTGTATCTAAGTGCCCCATTGTTTATAGAAAGTTGTGTTTTTGTGATGATGATAGGAGGATGAGGAGGGAGGTAGAAGAGGAGAAGGGAGGTAGAGAATCATGAAGAGGGAGAGGAGGAGAAGAGGCGATCTGACATTAGCAAGTCTGACAGCTTGTTTATGGATCGTCAGTTTGGGGAACCAGCGGCGTGATTTAAATACACTGTGAATAGAGAGAAAAGAGAGAGACTTAAAGCAATTCTTATTATTTGTTTTCATACCCATAAAATATAAATTAATTTTAGATACATTATTTATAAGTCAACCTGTGCCACTCCTCCCACCTCCTCCCTTCCTTCCTTGCCTCCCTCCTTCCCTCCTTTCATTCCTCCTTTCCCTCCCACTCCCTCTCCTTTCGTCCCTCCTTCTATCCATTTCCTCTTACCTTACCTCCTCTCCTTTCGTCCCTCCTTCTATCCATTTCCTCTTACCTTACCTCCTCTCTTCACTCCTTCCATCCCTCCTTCTTTCCTTCCCTTCTTCACTCCCACCTTCCCTCCCATTTTTCATCCCCCCTTCCTCCCCTTCCCCTTACCCTCCCACCTTCACTCCTTCCCTCCCCACTTTCCTCTCTCTCCCCTCCATCCCCTTCCTTTCTTCCTCCCTTACCTCCATTCTTCTCCATCCACCCTTCCTTCCATCCCACCATCCAACCCTACCTTACCTCCTCTCCTTCCTCCCTCCCTCCTTCCTTTCCTACCTTACCTCTCTCCTCTCCTCCCACCATCCACCCTATTCCCTTCCTCCTTCCCCTCCTCCTCCTTCTCTCTCCTCCTTCCTTCCTTCCTTCCCTTCCATCCCACCCTTCCTTCCCACCCACCCAACAAAAGACTTAATCCACACATCACAAACTTGAAAACAATTCATTGACGGTGTTGACAATTACCATAACTCACTTATAAAGGACCACTCACTCACAGCACCACCCAGAACCAAGCCAGAGCTGATACCTGACCTTTCCTCCCCGGTTTTTTCTTTTTTTAATGAAAGGAGGGATGAAGGAAGATTAGAGGTGGGGGAAGGAAGTTATAGTTCGCCCACCCGTCCCACACCCCCACCCGTCCCACACCCCCCACCCGTCCCACACCCACCCCCCCGTCCCCACCCCACGTTTCACCCCACCCCGTCCCACACCCCACCGTCCCACACCCCCACCCCGTCCCACACCCCCACCCCGTCCCACACCCCCACCCCGTCCCACACCCCACCTGTCCCCACCAGCGGTCAGCCAGCAAACACGGCCAGTCAACAGACAACCTCCCTAGACCAGCATCCGCCAGTAGGGTCAGTGGAATATGAAATAAGGCCCTTAAAACACTCATATATGGGGCAGGGTAGGCTGTCTAGTGCCTGTACCGACAGACAATAACCAACCCATGACACAACCCTAACACTATTAGCTAGGCTAGGCGGTCAGCCCGCCCTCTCTACCTCCTCCTGAATTTCTTCACCGAACTATAACTCTTCCCCACCTCTAATCTTCTTTCACCTCTCCTTCTCTACAAAAAAGTATCGCTCCTCTATTTCAGGTCACTGAGGGAGGGGGCACTGTGTACGCTAAGTTTGTCTCTCTCGCTGGTTTCGTGTGTGTGTGTGTGTGTGTCAACATTTGTAACATAACACATTAAAGCTTCTACCATGGAACACACACACACACACACACAAACAAAAAACAAAACAAACAAACAAACAAACAAACAAACAAACACCATCCCATCCCCCATTAGAACCCAACAACTACTACTATTATCCCATTAGGGTCCCATTGACATTAAACGTGAAGGAAAAAATCAATTAAGGGAGTCCCAGTAGTCGTTTAATGCTATAAAGGTATTCCCCAGGTAAGTAATAACAGGTAGATCACCCCCACACCCCCCACACTCCACCCCCTACCCCCCCCCCTTAGGTCTCCACTACACGCTACCCGAGTTTGGTTATCCTAGGATGCGTGACTTTACTTCTGTTGTTCGTACTGGGAATATTAAGGATAGACACCCACTTAAGAGATGGTTACTAGGTGTGTGTGTGTGTGTGTGTGTGTGTGTGTGTGTGTGTGTGTGTGTAATGGAGACGTGCCCAGAGTGAGATAGGGACGGTGTCAAGGGCAGGGGCGTCATGTGCCAGTAGGGAAGGTGGAGGTAGAAAGACTTGGGCCCCTTCTCCTGTTCCTTCCCCTCTCACTCGTCTCCCTTCATCCTTCCCTCCCACAATTCTCCCTCATTCCTCCCCTACCACACTTATCCCTCCTTCCTCCCACTGCATGGCAGTGAACAGTGACATCACCCACATGAATCTGGTCTATATATATATATATATATATATATATATATATATATATATACTGTTAATGAAGATGATGTATTTCTTTGTGTATGAACCTCTGTCCTGCGTG